CCTCTCATAAGTCATTGAAAAACAGAGCGGGAAGTCCCCATAATGAACCCCAAGCCGACCGTAAACGATCTGCAGTATGCTGGGTATCCTCTGTGCCATCTGCACTGAGACAATCTCAGTCCAGTACCCATGACTCACAAAAATCTGCAGTGGCAGATGCCATTGACACATGTAAGGACCCAACAGGCACAGGCACCAAGTTAACAGCACCAAAGGACAAGGACAGGAGTCAGCACTCCACTAAGAAGATGCTGCCGGTACATACTACTCCATCAGCACCGTCATCAATGCCCCATTGAGCACTGGAGTGGTCAGTGCGGGCAAGATCTCCATTCCCCCGGTACTGCCAGTGGCACCAAGGCAGTCGGTACCACTGGAATTCCGACACTTGAGAGACCTCCACATATCCAACATACTGGTGTCTCCTTGTCTCAGTACTGGGACCTCCACACCCAGTCTTCTTGTGGTACGGGAGTCTTCCGTGCCACACACCCCTGCTCTCTAGTGCCGACTCAGACAGCGAACCAGAGGCGGCTATATCGCAGTACTCTTCTCAGGCTCCCTATGGTGCCCAATACCAACAGGGCCCCGAGCATACCCTCAGATGGTCCCACCACTGCCACCTTGGTGCAGTCAACCGTTGGCACCACCACTGGGCTCTATGCCTCCACCACGCTAGTGGCCCATGAGGACCATATCCTCCTTCCCATATGAAGCCATTATGCCTCCCACACCATCCCTGGCTGATGACTTCTGCCTTTTCCAGGACCTAGCAAAGAGTGTGGCAGACGCTCTGCAGATACCATTAGGAGAAGTCAAGAGCACCCATCACAAGTTCCTTGACATACTCCACTCCTTCTCATCCTCAAAAATAGCCCTTCCTGTTAATGAGGCTCTTCTGGACCCCGCGAAAACCATATGGCAGACCCCAGCATCTGTGGCTCCTACATGCAAGTGGGCCGACAAAAAATATTATGCCCCAGCAAGGGAGATGAAATTCCTTCTCCCACCCTCCACCCAACTCCATTGTGATGGACGCTGTCAGCTCTCGTGGCCATCAACACCAAATGAGGCCTGCTCCCTACAATGAGGATTGGAAGCATTTGGACCTCTTTGGAAGGAAAGCCTACTCTTCTGCCTATTGAATTGCCAATTACCAAGCCCTAACTGTGAAATACAACTATGTGAATTACTAGAAAATCAGCAGTTTTATTGATCAGCTGCTTGACCTGCTCCGCTACCAATTCAAAGCCATCATTCAGGAGGGACAGTTAGTGGCTAAGACAACACTACAATCTGTTCTGGATGCAGCCAACACAGCCCCAGGTCCATCTCCATGGTGGTGATTATCTGACATGTTCCATGACTACATCTGTTGAGCTTCCCTAATGAAGTCTAGTCAACTGTTGAAGACCTTCCCTTTGAAGGCATCAAGCTCTTTGCAGAGAAGATGGATTCCTCTCTTTGCACCCTAAAAGGGTATAGGGCTACTCTCTGCTCACTGGGCATGGGCATCTACACACCAGGACAAGAGAAAATTTAGTTCGCAGCCCCAGTACAAACCATGTATTTTCCAATACCCAACTCAACGCTACTACAAGCCTCGGAGGAAGAAAATTAAGTTTACTAGTCATAAATAGTCTGTCCCACAGTCTTTCACATCCCAGCCATCCACTTCCAAGCACCAATTTTGACATGTTGGTCAATGCGACGATAGACCACTCCCCCCAACCACTACAGCTGACCGCTGCTTTCCACCCATTTGGCCACCGTCTCGTAACGTTCTGCAGCATCTGAGAATGCATAACATCAGACCAGTGGGTCTTAGAGATTGTTCATAATGCGTACTCCATTTTACCTCCCTACCCCCTCAACAACACCCTTCCCTTCTTCAGGGACCCTTCTTGCATAAATTTACTACAACAAGAGAGAGATCATCATCTCCTCCGGTTAGGAGCCATAGAACCGGTACCTCAACATCTATGAGGCAAAGGGTTTTACTCTCGTTATTTCCTAATACCCAAGAGGAAGGGAGGTTGGAGACCCATATTAGACCTCAGAGTACTCAAGTTTGTCAGAGCTCAAAAATTCAAGATGGTCACTCTAGCAACAATTATTCCAGCATTAGAGAAGGCAAATGGGTTTTCAGCTGTCTACCTTCAGGACACCTGCTTCCATATCTCAATCCTACCATCTCACAGACAGTTCCTTAGATTTAACCTAGGACAAGGCTACTACCAGTACAGAGTATTGCCCTTTGGGCTATCATCTGCTGTGAGAGTATTCTCCAAGGTTCTCTCAGAAGTGGCCGTGCACTTACGTTCCTAAGGGATCATGATTTACCCTTACCTGGACGATTGCCTCCTCCAAACTCAGTCCCTCGCTGATTCACCAAATCTGCAATAGACTTTTTCACAGAACTGGGCCTACAGATCAATGCCCAGAAATCAACCCTCGTTCCAGTTCAACTCCCGGGATTCATAGGCACCGACCTCAACTAGTTACAGGTCAGAGCACTCCGCTCTCAGTGCAGATTCCTCTTCTTGGCCACACTCATAGAGACCATTCAAAAGAGCCCACAAATATCAGCCAGACACTGCCTCCAACTCTTGGGGCATATGGCAGAAGGGGCAGCGATGATACCACATGCCAGGCGTCAGATGCAATGCCTCCAGATGTGCTTCAGATCAATGTACAAACCAAACAGACTAGACTAGAGCTAAGGGCGGTCAGGAATGTATTTCCTCCCACTGATCAAGGGATCACAAACGAGACTCCTAACAGACCACATGGCATGTATGTACTACATAAGTCAACGAGGGGGAGCCAGCGTTCCCCTCCCATTGTGCAGAAGCAATGAGACTATGGAACTGGTATATCTCCCATGGCGTCACACTGTCAGCAGCTTACCTCCTGGGTACACACAACTTGACAGCAGACTGTCTGTCACAGATTCCCACACAACCATGAGTGGGAGATAAACCAGATGTACTTCACGACCTATTCAGGCAGTGGGACACATCAACCACAGAACAGTTCGCCACTTACCTACGCTACTGCTCCAGATCAGAGATAGGACAACAGTCCATGGGCAATGCTCTCCTCCTCACCTTCTCTATGCCTTTCCTCCTTTTCCCCTATTGTAGAAAGTCCTGATAAAAATAAAAAGAGAGAGCACATGTCATACTTGATTGCTCCTACTTGGCCAAGACAGACCTGACCCTTACTTGTCATAGCTCACAACATGACCACCGATCTCTCTCCCTTGCACTCCATACCTCCTCTCGCGGAACAAAGGACGGACTCCGCATCTCAAGGCGTGGCTCCTTCATGGCTCCAACACCTAGAGAACTCCTGCTTGAAGGAGGTACAAGAGGTATTACGACACAATAGAAAGTCCTAAACACACCATACTTACCTGCAAAAATGGTCCAGGTTCCGTTTTTGGTGTTCTTCCCAATAGATCTCCCCAACATCTGCAGCTATTCCAAAGATCCTAGAATATGTACTGACCCTAAAAAGATTGGGATTATCTTTCAGCTGTCGGAGTACACCTAGCAGCTATAGCAGCCTTCCTCCAACAAGTAGAGGGATACCCAGTACTATCACACCCAATCACTAAGATTCCTCAGGGGTATAGTAAACCTTTTCCCATAGCCCTGACTTCTTATCCCCACATGGGACGCAAACCTGGTATTGAAAGGACTGATTAGGTCTCCCTTCGAACCCATAGCCACCTGTTTGCTATCAGGAAGGCCGTTTTCATTGAGAGGTATGTAAGCAATCACTCTAGATAGGAGAATAGGAGAAATGGCAGCTCTGATAGCACATTCCACACACAGTATTCTTTCGGGACAAAGTTATGCTCAGGCCACATCCAAAATTCATCCCTAAGTTAACCTCTCCATTGCACATGAATCAATTGATTCACCTTCCAACCTTCTACCGAGACAACAGATAGATAGGCTATATTACACACATTAGAAGCCAGGAGACCCCTTTCCTGTTACCTGGATAGGACGAAGACTTTCAGAAACTCTCCTAAGCTCTTCCTCTCTATTGGAGAAAGGTCCAAGGCTCTTAGCAGTATTACTCCAGAGACTCTCCAATGGGTCTCAAACTGCATTAGACAATGTTATCAAGTTTGCAATATGATCTCTTCTTATAGCATTCGCACACACTCCACAAGGTCAATCTCATCCATCGCCTTCTTCAAGAATGTCCCTATCAGAGATCTGTAGAGCGGTGATATGGGCATCAGTCCACACCTTCTCAGAACATTATGCAATCACTGGGGACTCCGCCTCCAATGCCATCTTGGGCACCACAGTACTGTCATCTGTAACGGACCCAACTCCAAAGTCCCAGCCCTCCAATAGGGATACTGCTCAGGAGTCACCCATAGGGACGCTACTCAAAGAAGAAAAAAGTTATTTACCTTGTGCAGTAATGATGGTTCTTCAAGATGTGTGTCCCGATGTGTGCTCCACAACCCCACCCTTCTCCCCTCTACTTTGGAGTTCTTTTCTATTACTCTGCGTTAGAGAAAGAACTAAGGGAGGTTAGCCCATGCGCGCTGACTCTCCTCGTGGTAGGGCACAAGGAGAGACAGCGCATGTGCGGGCCTAACGGACACTGCTACCGAAGTTCTCCAATCAGCAGTGCAGGGACGCAAGCACACCTAAAGGGGAGCAGCTATAGGGACACATGTCAAAGAACCATTGTTACTGCACAAGGTGAGTAACTTCTTTTTGCAAACCAGATGATGCATCATTTAATTTCTTACGTCCCCAGTGGATTTGTGTTGGGATTTTGGGTTTTTTTGCACTCATCACCATACTTCTAGAGGCACAAACAATAAATATGAAAAAATACCGACAGTACTAACTTCCTGAGTTATTTGGGGTTGATCGTATTTGCTTTCAACACTAGAGATCTTTAAAGATAAAATATGCTCTGAAAACTACTGCCTTCATTTTCTCTGTTTATTTTTTTATCAGAATCAAACTTTGAAAAGTGACGTCGGATGTATTTCTAATACTGCTCCTGACATATGCATAGTGTATAAACTTCATTTGGAGTGCGGCAGATTAATAAATCTTGTTGACTGGTTAGAGGTATGTGAAGATGAAAATATTAACTATATATGTGTATAGTCTCTAGATTTTGCTGACTTTTTTTTTTGTGCATGCTTTTCTTTGTTTTGTTTTTGTTTCTCTTCAGTGCCATCACTTTTGAAAGCCAGTCTTCTCATGCCACACTGACTCCTGTCCCTGCAAGTACTTGTAAGGCCCACAAATCACCATCCCACTCAACCTCCCCTCCTAGTGCTGGGCATCATTTATTACCAGCACTGCTATCCCAACAATGAAAATCCCTGTTGCTGCTTGTACCTTGTTTATGTTCAGTGTAAACCAAATGTTATGCTTTACAGAGCTACTTTTTCTTCTTTAGCTTTTTAACATTTGCTGATGCACGTGTTCACAGAAAAGCCTGTGTAATGCAAGTACTGTCTCTGAGATATGTGTGATTGGAGGGGTTATGCATCTTATCTTTGCTCTTTAGGCCTTTTCAACGGTGGTAACGGCGGTTGAGGGAACAGACCCAGATTCAGTGGCCACAGACCAGGTGGATGAAATTATCCAGTATCCTTTGTTGTTTCTCGCTTGAATTTATTTTTTAATGTTCACATACGTACAAACCAGTGGCCTTTTTCTCGTGGATGAACAAAGCTTTTACAAATGCAGCTTCCCCATGCACTGAGAACTGACTGAAAGAGGGCTAAATACTTTTCAAGCAATCTTCTTATAATAAAAAAAATACAAAAGGAGGGTTGACCATTTGTCATATGGCGCTTTTTGCCAAAACCTTAATTCTTTTAGGGTTGGGCGAGGTGAGGTCCCAAGTGCCAGAGAATGTTGTTAGTATAATATATGTCCCAATTTCATTATTCCGTAGCATACTGTAGATTTCCTTTAAAAATGTCAACTTGCATTTAATATTTCTAAGGAAGTTAAATCCTTTACCATTTAAAATCAAGTATATCTAGGTGTTGAGAGATGAATGGCACAAACAAGCACATCAAAGCATCACCTCACCTATTATGCATTAATGCTTGAATTGAAGTCAAAAGTTGGGGCATTGTTTCTGCAACCAGAGGATGGGTTTCATTCAGGTGGTTGGGGTTCTTCCCCTCATTCTTCCAGTTTTGTTGTCCAGGGATGTACAAACAAAATAACCCTAAATATTTTATGAGTTTACAAAATTAATATTGTGTAGCCCTCTCGCCTCACCTCTCCGTAGTCACCACCACATCCAACCCAAACAGCAGCACAGGTTAGAGCAGTGGTTCTCAAATTTTTTTTACTGGTGACCCCTTTCACATAGCAAGCCTCTGAGTACGACCCCCCCTTATAAATTAAAATAGCTTTTTTTATATATTTAACACTATTATAAATGCTGGAGGCAAAGTGGAGTTTGGGGTGGAGGCTGACAGCTCGTGACCCCCCATGTAATAACCTCGTGATCCCCTGACGGGTCCCGACCCCCAGTTTGAGAACCCCTGAGTTAGAACAAGAGATACTTTATCCTGTAGGTCAGAGGTCATGTTGCCTTGATTTAAATGAATTTCAATTTTGTGCTTACTATGCACCAATACATCCCTCCCATACCAGAGAGAAATGTAAGTGCTTACTTCATTCAATTCAATTATTTTAATCATGACATATATACTTGTTAATTTCCTTTACAAGAACTTCCAGCGCTCGTTTTATTAGAGCTGTTTCAGAACTGGAACTCTTAGGGTTCATAAAGCCTAGCAAACAGAAAACAGATCATGTGGCAAGGCTGACATGGGGAGGCTGTTAAATGATAGAACAAGTTGAGAAAGACCAACCAATGTATGCATGCTGCCTGTGAAAGTTCATTATGGCATATGGGGGACAATGCAGCCATTGGGACAAATTAATCCCTTATGTAACTCTACTGATGTTAAAGGAGTTAAACTAAGGATGAATTTGACCTCTTATGTACTATATTCTAATAGCCAACAAAATACTACCTCTTTTCTGTACATGTTTGTATGGAGTCAAGGAGTCAGCTTTAGTACATGATTTAATATTCTCTTAAAATTGCAAAGTTCTGACCACTGCTCTGTACCAGTTTTCATCTTCTGTTATGTATGATGTGGTTTAGGCTAGGAGGCCAGAATGCGATTGTGTTGTGCGATTTTCTTTTAATGTGTAACCATGAATGCTGAGTTTAATTTGCTCACTATCTGGATTTAAATGATCATGTTATGAAATGTTCTCCAGATACTGCATATTTTCAAAAAATCATTCTGCTGAGAATTGAAATAACAAGCCTCTGTGACCAGAACCCACTGAGCCCTCCCCTTGCAGTGTGCAGTACCAGCCACTCTGAGCAGAACTATTTGATGATCCTGGTGATGGTGCCCTGGGAAGACTTCTCTACATACAGAAGAAAACCAGATTTCTGTGTTAGAAAATAAAGGAAAAGTGTTTCTGAAGGGACAAAAACAATTGTTACTATCCAATTTGATAACATAGCTGGACAGTAAATAAGACTATTTCAAAAATACTCCTTTAGCTAACCTGCGTTATCAATCAGATTTCATTATCCGCATAGGAGATACGAGAATATTGCTCAATTAGGAGTGTTGAAGGAAGGTAATAAAATACCCATTTAAAGTACAAGGTCATCATTTCTCTTCTCTCTCCCTCCGTCTCCCCTTTTCCCCCACAGATTTTTGTTCATTGGGCAGTGGGACAAGCAAGGGAAACAGCTGTGTGGGAATAATGTAATTGTTGACATAATTTTATAACTGACAGATGTTCAGCCACTGATATCACTTGATAGATGGAACATTCCAAACCATTTGTGCCCTGTGCAAGGAATGAAACAAGTTTAACCATGGGGCTGTCCTGTCATAGTGAAGTGTAGACATTAAGACAGAACCACTCCAGATCACAAACCTAGCAATTCTGAATTGTTTGTAAAGTGCCATCAGTCTGGAGGTACAATGTGGGAGCCTAAAATAAGGCTACACTGTTTCTCAGCATTAAAAATCTGCAATACAGGTTCGTCCTGATATAGTAATCTATTGTGATTTCTTTCCCCAGGAAGATAAATAGTTGAAGTAAAAATGATTTTGTGCAGTGTTTTTGACTTAAGTTAGATTGAAGATCTCAGTATGGAATAGTGTGGGCAAGCTGGCCTACTTCAAAGCAAGGACCAAGGTTATATTTTTTCTGATGAGCTGATACCCCCCAAAAGTACTCAAATACATTCTCAATGTGGTGTGTGCAAACTTCAGCCCAGAGAGTCTTATTACCGTTACTAGGAGCTGCACAGCTAAAGGGTTAGTGAATTTACTCCTAAAGCCCAACCAATGCTTCCCAGCCCAACGAGTGGAAACTTTGACTGGTAACTGCATGCTGTCCAAAAAGACTTCTACCCATAAAATCTTTAGTTCTTTTGGGGGTGGGGGAGAGGACTCCCCAGGTTGCCTTGTTTGCTGCAATGCCAGTAATTACATTTCTGAAGAACCCACTTACTCATATGCAGAGAAAAATAAATTCTACACATTTATTTTGACTACTTTGCTCCTCTCTTATTTTTGCCCAGTTTTTGTTCTGCACTTGGGCTAATTACACTCTAAATCTGTAAGTAGCTTTAACTTTAAAAAATCTCTGTCATCTTTATCCTTGGAAGTGCTCAATAATCTACTAGTTCTTAGCGTTCTTCCTCTTAAACAACTGAAGTTCACACATGCTTAGTAGCTTTATTTTAAAGTGAGTTTTAAAATTCCATGCTTTAGTAATGTGTCTAGCTGATCATGGATGTACCTGAAAAGGCTAAATGTGGTAGACTTAACAGAAATTACATGTTTAAATCTCTGTAATAGGAAAATATACACAAAGGATGTATTCAGACAGACATTTATTAGCTAACTATACAATTCATAGCAATATTGCTTATTGTAGGAAGTCTTGTTCAAATGCAACCCCTCTGACTCAAGAAGATATATTGTTGATGGGTTCAATAGGGACTACCAAAATGAGCCTGGCCAGAAAGATGTCAGGTTTGAAGGTAGGCGATGAAGCTAGTGGATTCTCTGAAGATAAGGGATACCCCACACCCCTTGCACAAGCACAGGTTAAAATATATTTATTTATGATGTAATCCTCTTCCCATGCCAGTGTTGATGTACAGGGTGGATACCAGTCTTTCCATTCCTTTCTGTCATTTGCTGCTGCTTCCATTTGCCCTGTGGTGTTAAGAGATACTCTAGGAATTATTTGGGGCAAGTTCTATGGTCTGTTATACAGGAGGTCAGACTCAATCACAGTGGTCCCTTTTGGCCTTGGAATCTTTGATATTGATGATTCTGCCCTCCCTTGTAAGGGTTCTCTTGCATGCATTGTTGCTTCACACTAGGTGTTTCCACTTGACAGCTTCATGTCCAGCATTTCCTTCTGATTTGGGTGGAAACAATCTGCTGGTGGGTGATGAAGTCTTTCCAAACAATATCGTTTGTAGGCACTTATTTTCAAAGGTGTATAGTTTTGTTGATCTCCAGCTCTCAGCTGTATGTTAGCATCAAGACAGTTTAATCTTGATGATCTCAACTGAAAATTCTTAGTTTTGTGCTATTGCTGTATCTTTGATTTCAAGCATTGTTGAGTAAATGTTATGGATCCCTTTCCTATCCTTGATATCACTTCCTTCTTGAGGTCACAGTTGGCTCATATGGTGCTGCACTCATGTAGATGAACTGTACTACTTTGATGTGTTTTGCCTTTTATATGATGCTGTTGTCACACATCTGAGTTTCAAGGATATTTGTTTTACCAAAACTAATTTTGAGCCCTGCTTCACCTGCTATTTTTGCTAAATTTTCTGCTGTTTCACTCTTTATTTTTTTTTTTAAATAATCTTTCCACATCACTGTTGGCACACAGGGTGAAAACCAGTCTAGGCATTTGTCATCTACCATGCTATACTGGTGTTTGTGTTGCTAATTGTCATAAACTGGATAATTAAGTCTATGTCATAACATGTAGCCATTTCATGCCAATAGCCACATTGAACCACTCTGGCTGTTCACCCTTAGAGATCAATTTGCATCTCTGTATGTGGCCTTGATGATCTTGACTATTTTAACTGGGATTATGTGGTACTGAAGAATATTCCACGATTTATCCCTGTGGACTATCAAAAGCCTTGGCAGAAAAAAAAATGAATAGGGAAGCTTGCCCTCCTATATGTTTTTCTGTGATGGTCCTTAGTGTGAGTATCTGATGTACACTGGCTCTCTTGAGCCTGAATCCAGCCTGTTGCACATTGAAGTGGCTGCTGGTCCCAAGCCTGGATAAAATGGGGAGGGTTGAGCCCAAGGCCAACCACTTAGTCTTGTGAAAACACTTCACTGGTTACAAAAACCATCACGCTACCCTTCCAGTAAAAATGGACACTGTCAATCCCTCATGCTGCAGGTTTCCTAGTGAAAACTAGTCTCTGGATGCCAAGACCCCAAAGTGTTTGATGCTGGCATCACAAAAACGTTTCAGAGTTGGTTAGTGTAATGTGAGAATGGTGTTTCAAACCTCAAAGATCTTCCAGATTGTGAAGGAGATAGACAACTATGGACTTGAATCCTGAGTATCAATGAGATAAGATTCATCTAGATCAAGCAAGAGAAGAAATCTCATTTATTCTGGTTGTTGTGACACAAATGCTCAGGGAGTAGTGCTCATTATGCCTGATTTCAGGGAAGGGGGAAAATCAATCAACTGGGAACCTGAATCCATCATATACAGCAGACTCCAAACCAGATTCTTAAAGATGTCAATCATACAGCACTGTTCTGATGAACATGGTGAAGAGGATAAAGATGAGTTATGTACTGTAATTGCCTCTAAAATGTGACCAACAGAATACCTAAACATGACTTACTCCTTGTGACAGGTGACTTTAATGCTAAAATAGAACATGACAACCAAGGAATGGAAAGAGCAACTGAGGAAAGCATGCACTGGGAACAATCAACAAAATGGCAAGACACTCCTTGAACTGTGCTCAGGATCAGACCTAGCAAGTTAAGGTCAGCTTTGAACAGAAAGTGGTAAAGAAAAAAGTATAAAATTAAAAATCAAAACACTGTGAGAAATCCTAACTTTAACTAAGGAACAGATTGGAGGCACTGCCAAAAGCAGAGGTGAGACAGACTGTACTGGAAGAAAAATGGGCAGTGCTCCAAGATAATGGGATTAAAGCCGCAGCATTCCCAGGTGGATATCAACAGAGGCAGAACAAGAATTGGATAAGCCAAGAAACATGGCATCCCATCAAGGGAAGAAGGTACTGAAATACTCCTGCATATTAAGGCCAACAAACTCTTGAGAAAGGCAGAAGAGGAGAATAACAAAGCAAAAAGCAAGGAAAGATAAGCAGCTGAAGCTGCTGCTGATAGGAAACCACAGAGTGGTTTACCAAATGACTAAAATCCTGTGTGCAAATTTCAACAGAGCCAATAAGCACAATGGAAAAATGCTTACAACTGAGGTAAAACTGAGCTGGACAGCGCATCAACATCCTCAATCGAGCCAGCCCCCATCAGCATCCAATTTTGATTAAATGTGAATTACACTGTTGTTCGAACCTTTTCACATGCTTTAATTTTGGGGATTGACAAATATTCTTGTTGCTTAGTTATTGGTAAGAGATCACATGGTATGTTCTGACTGCAAAGGACAAGTACTTGTGTGAATTTTAAGATCTAGTTTCTGTAAATATGTACACCTACATTGGTTTTATGTAGTAAAATTCAATTGCTACAGAGTTTGTGAAAAGTAAGGAAGGCACAAATGACAAGCTTCTTTTTAAAAAGACTGAAGGAATGTGCTGTTTGTCTGATGGGCTCTATTAAAACTAGAAAACTGTGTGCTGGGCCACAGCCTAGTGCATCATTAGCCTGCCCTCAACTGTAAAATATTAGTTATCCATGTTGTGTTTAACACCCTTACTACTTAGAAACAGGAACTGGAAATAAGATTGTGTTCAAGTACTACTGCTCAATTATTGTTTAGTTCTAGGCTTAATGTTGTACTAATCTTTGAGAGAACCCTTCATACTCTGACTAGAAAATGAGACAAACAGGACTCGATAGACTAGGGCTGGGCAAACTGCAGGCCGGATCTGACCAGCAGGATTGCCCAGTGGTGCTGCAAGCCTTGTGCTGCTCTCAGAAGCGGCCAGCATCATGGGGTGGTGGGGCTGCAGAAAGACTTATGTGTTGCCCTTGCCTCTAGGCACCGCCCCCTGCAGCTCCTGTTGGCCAGGAACAGGGAACCATGGCCAATGGGAGCTTCGAGGGAGGTACCTGGAGGTGCAGCAAGGGCTGTGTGCAGAGCCCTGTGCTGCCCCCCTCCCCCCTGGGGCTGTGCGGGGCTGTGGTGCCAGCTGCTTCCCGGAGCAGTGAGGTGCAGGCAGGGAGCCAGCCCTGGCGCATGCCGCTGCCACCCCAGAGCTGCTTTAAGTAAGTGGCACCAGGGAGGATTTGGTAGAACAGGATGCTCCTTCCTTACACTATAGCTCCTAGTAATGGACAGCTATTTATAAACTGGTTGCTTGAGTGGGCTAACCCAGCTCCTTAGTGTCACTCTATTAAATGAAAAAATGGTAACTGCATTCAGCTGATTTTTACTTTTGGATTATAGGCTCCAGCTGTACACAAGCCTGTCAGGAAAAAAAATTTAACTCTTAAGTGTAACATTAGTGCAGGCCACAAGTCAGTGCCAAAAATGCAGTAATCCAACTGCAGGGAACTCATTTTACATAACACCTAAATGGAATATTCTGCCACAGGCGCTTCCACAGAAGCATGGTGATTTTAACAGGTTCCCCACATCCCTGCAGGTCAGCCCCTGGCCTACTCCAAAAGCTTTGGAAAGTGGAAGTCAGGCTTTGCACTTCAAGAGATTTCAAATGAAAGGAAAAAAGGGCAAAAAAGGTGTTCATACATTCCAAGAAGAGATCACGGATCTGCTCTAATCTGTGTAACACAAGTCACAGAACTTCCCCAAAATAATCCCAACAGCATATCTTTTAAAAAGCACACAATCTGATTTAAAATTGGCAGTGATGGAGAATTCACCATGACCCTTGGTATATTATTCCAGCATTTGTTTATAGAAGGCTAAAAATCGCTACAGCTTGAGGAAAGAATTGGCAAGACACATACCACCCACCTGTTTCAGACCAATGCATCTTTCCCCTTGTTTAGTGATAGTTGATTAATCTCAGAAAATGCCAGATAGAGGCTCTTAATTGTAATATACACATTTTTCTCTACCACCTTTTTAAATGGGAGGATTATACAGTTCCTTCGAGGAAAAGTTCAAGCGTGAGACCAAATGGCAAGAGCCCACCATGCCTTCAGATGCTAGAAATGCATACTAATAGCACCAAGTTCAGGGAGAAAAGGGGACAAAAGACAAGCAGCAGCAAAAAAGTCTAGAGATTGACATTCAATGATATATTAATCATTCCAATCCTATGTTACTGTACACACCCCCTGAAAATAGAGATAGGCCAAGGAAGAAAAATGCTGCTTGAGAACTGAGCTTGATGTAGGGATACTTGTTTTAAGAGTTATGCTTTTAACTTTTTGAATCTCACCATCTGTCATTAAATAATTGTCTAAATCCTCTATAATTTCCCACAACTGAAAATTTAAATAAAAGTAAAAAATGTTTAAACACGACCACCTATGCTATTAATTGTATAAAAAAACCACCCTGAATTTGGCTAAGGTTACCTAGAGCCTTTCAGGTATCTATCATCAACATTTTCTTATCCATCTGGTTCATGCTAAGTTTTTAAACTGGCATTAAGCAAGCTACACTTAGAATACACACGAGGCTGTAGTGGTGGTGTACTTGAGATGGAGAGACTGTGGGTCAGCCTAAGCATAGCTATAGTGGGGTGATGGCACATGTTATTTACATTAACTATCCTCCCCCTCATGCTTACCATAAAAGGGAAGATCAACCAGTCAGTGGTTCTCTTAGCCCCATTCTACAATGCCCAATCACCATAGCATATTAAGAAATTTGTACTAAATAGTGCACTTATCGCTATAATTCACTCAATGTGGACACCACCTAGCTAATCATTTAGGAGGAGGGATGTCCTGAAAAACAATGCAGGAGACAAAATATACTAGGACCCTGGTGTTTAGCTAAGGTTCCACCCTGCTGCAGCAGTGCTCTTCCCCACATCCACAGCTCAACAGCAGAAAAGTGCCCTAAAGTAGTCAGTATGAAGGAGAAAGGTTAAGCAGACACATTAGAGATGTCAGTTCATATTCCCCGCTCTGGATTTTGAAAGGAATGGGTCTAAGTATTTTTCCCTGTACCTCAAGAAGGAAAAGGGCCAGAGTATAACAGAGGATCTAGAGGAGTTTGCTTCCTTGTCTACTATACTCGTCTTCCAACCCTCAACAGTCCAAGCACAGTGAGTAGAAGAGTAAACTGTGTGCAGCCACAGAGAATATCAGGGTTAGAAGGGACCTCAGGTCATCATCTAGTCCAACCCCCTGCTCAAAACAGGACCAATCCCCAATTAAATCATCCCAGCCAGGGCTTTATCAAGCCTGACCTTAAAAACCTCTAAGGAAGGAGATTCCACCACCTCCCTAGGTAACCCATTCCAGTGCTTCACCACCCTCCAGGTGAAAAAGTTTTTCCTAATATCCAACCTAGACCTCCCCCACTGCAACTTGAGACCATTACTCCTCGTTCTGTCACAGAAATTCAGAATACAAATAGAGCTTTTGCATCTCTTTGGTGCTAGTGAAGTCACTAGTCCAGTAAATGAGCGTTCATGAGGGACTGAAGAGAAGAGAAAGGCTTTCCAAAAATGGATGTTGTAAAGATCAGTTAGAGCCAGTTTGCCAAACAGGAGGCCTTAGCTCACATCCCAACATCTGAAACTTTACCACTGCAGTTCAACTTTAAATACCAAAATAAGACAAAATAAACCTTTTCCCAACACAATTGTGGGCGTGGGATGTCAAGATCTAACATGCATATAGACACATCTGGTTACTGCAGCTTAATCAAAAGCTATGTTTTAAACAGCTTATATTCCCAGAGTGAAAAAATAGCCAAGTCTGTCTTATAAACACATTTCTTTGATATCACTGAAATCTGGGGGTTAGAAAAGAACAGATGCTGAGTACATTACTAATATCACATCAGATGTTTGTGGTCAGTTACATAAAAAACATGCTTCCACATGAAGCAGCTCATGCAAATGTAACAGAGGCATGATCTCTTATCTCTGCAGAATGACTCAATATTTCAGTCTATTTCACTCTCCTAAATTAAACTCTCACCTACCTCAGTTGCTAGTAAATAAAATTTCCATTTAAATATGGATAAATGTTATTCAGACAGAGCAGCAGTGGCACCTGTATATTAAAAACCAAGAGATTAGAAGTAAATGTTTTATTCTTCCAACTAAATTCCAGTACTACAAGGGCAGTAAAACAATGATACACTGAAAAATTGCAGCAATAAACATTTGTTAAAGACTGATAGAATAAATAAAAACTACAAAAATGAGAAATCATATAAACCCATTCTTAACCCCCCAAAAAGTCATGGAATACAGAAATGCCCTCCTTTACTATTTCACAGGCAGTACTGTGGGCTAGTTGCTTAAAATTGTCCTGGGGTTACATTCTAATTTAACTGTGATTACAGTTTTGTTGTGGTGCACAGTTACGAAAACCACACTAACTTCAGTCAGAAGTGTCATTCTACATTTTTATTTACACAACCAGTGAAGGGCAAGTTCTAGAACACCAGCTTTAATCCTTTACTTTTTCAAACTTATTAACATAAGAAGCCAAATCGTAATGATACAGCAAATGAGGCCACTGGTATTATTACAGGTAGCAAAGGTCCACATCCAGGTGGTACGGACATCAGGGAGCACTCCAAAACCAGTTGCTGCATAAGAGTGGTTGCCACTGACAAAAGCTTGAAATAACCTGTGTTCACGGGGGTGGGGGAAAAGGGGGAAAATATGGCATTGCTGCAAGTCTTTTACTGGGACAGCTTGCAACAATTAGGGTGTATAGGGCAGCCCACGTATGCAGAAAACATGATTCATGAAACATCTGAAAAAAGGAAAAAAAGAAAAGGTTACTAACAAGGTAACTGAATCCAAACTGAATATAAATCAGTTAAGACAATAGCAAAAATCACTTTAAAACGAAAAGCCCCAATGGTTTACAGGAGGCAAAGCTATTTGATGCACATATATGATATATTATACAGCACGTTTTCACTTCACCCTAAATTCTCCATAGCATTATGAATTGAAGCTTTCAACTCAGTGCTTTTCAGTTAAAATCTAGACCAAAAAAACAGTGGTACTACCGGCCAGTTTAATTACTGAACCATCAAGAGATGTAATGTTCCTGTTTGATGTTAAAGATGCTGAGATACTCACAACTAGCAGGCTGTTCTCCATATCGTCGCATGATCTGATCATGCGTGAACTTCACAAATGCGTCGTATTGTTCTGCAAACAGTAACATTAGAAGTGAGTGTACCAAATTTTTAACTTAGCATGAAAAAAAAGATCAAGGCTTACTTTTTATGCCATGCAAGCTATATCAATTAAACAAACGTTGACAGTCTGTAAGGGGCAAGTATGGATTATTCAATACAGCCATCTCATCTCTGCCCCCTAAAAAAAATCCACCCCATTAAACCATGTTAGCAATCAATTGGATTTCACTTGACAAGCGAACTACAGCACAGAATAAGACAGAGGAATTTGGCAAAGGAATATGCTGCACGTAGAGAGAGGATCTCAAAGCACTTCAAACACACTTAAATTCTCACATTATCCCTAAAGGTCATATTATGCCAATTTTACAGATGCATAATGAAGGCCCAGAGTGGTTAACTGAGCAATGTCTGTGAGTGGCAGGGCTGGAAGTAGAACTCAACTTCCGTCCTCTAACCACTGAACAGAGTTACAAAAAGGCAGAATTTAAACGTCTGGGAAATGACAGCACAGAAGTATAAAAAAGATTTATTACAATCAAGAAATCGTCACTGACTGCCAAAATGTTGAACAAGCAAGAAACACGTAACTATGGGATAAAAAGCTAAGTGAAAAATATTTGCTTTATTTCAACAGCAAAAATAGTCACAATAGGGAACAGGTGAGACTGCGGGTTTAGTAAAATCAGCTATTGAGTAATCTCCTCAAACTAAATACTAAGATTAAGATGATGCTATAAAGAATATTCAGTTCACTCTGAACTCAAAATTAGTCCTTTCCAGAAGGAATCTCTATACATCACATACATAACACATTTTTTCATATTCTCTTCAGTTTCTAATATTGCACCCATCAACATGGTATTAACTTTTAGAATTAGGAAATTAAAGAAGATCTATCAGATGCAGCTCCTCTCCATTCCCCTTCCTCCCTTGTGGAAAACCGCATGTGAGGTGTGTTGGGTTATTACTTTTAAGTGCTCTGCACTGTTCTTAGAAGAGGCAAGGTTAAAGAAAGCAATCTTCAACCAAAAATGTAGCAGTAGTTCTTGGGTTTCCACAGAAGAGTCCCAGTCTGAGGGTCCCCCCCATGAAAGTCCCATCCTCCTGCAGGGATGAGCAAAGTAAACAGTGAATCAGTAATCAGCAAGCAGTGCAAAAGAACTCCTAAGTGTGGATGGTTTTGATGATCTGTGTGCCTTCAAAACTTTGACTGGAACTGGTCCAGTAACAAGGCAGCCAGTTTTTTAAAAGGTATTCCCTCTCCCCTCAAGCATCATCTCTAACTTACTGGAATTCAGATTCAGCCAACTCTTCCTCAGCCACATGAGGACATTAGCCAAAATACTGGGATAACACAACATGTATGTCTACACTGCAATTAGACACCTGTGGCTGGCCCATGCAAGCTGACTCAGGTTCACACAGCTCAGGCAAAGGGGCTGTTTAACTGCGGTATAGGCACTGGGGCACTCCAGGACCCTCCCACCTTGCAGGTTCCATGCTCCAGGCTGAGCATCTACACCATAATTAAGCAGCCCTTTCATCAGAGCCCAGGTTTTTAATTGCAGTGTAGACATACCCAATGTGAGCCAATCGGTTGCCCAGAAACAGTATCCAAGACCAGCAGCAACTCAATTTTAGAATCTTTAGAAAAACAATATATTAAAAACCAGATGGCCACCTTGTAAGTTCTCTTTGTGAATTTAAATTTGGCTCAGTACAGCACTGGTTTGCATACTATTATCTAGTATGCTCAAAGTACGGGTCTCCAAATGAAACAGAAATCCATGATCACTTATCCTTCTCATCAAACTGCAGGTCACAGGAAAGGGACAAATCCCCAGCTGGCTCTTTAAAATTAGTTTTAATGAGGGTTTGTAGCACAACATTAGAACTCTGGGTTTTTCCAGGTTGCCTTAAAAGTAGGTAATCACCACAACTACAAAGGAATGAGAAATACCATGGTGCTAGGTAAGAATACAGCAGGCGATATCAATATATGCCAGTACCCTGTGACTTGAACCTAACTAACCTTCTCAGACCTGAAAAAGCTTTTATATAGGGAACTCCAGAGTAACTTTCACAGGGAATAGAAGAGGAATAATGTTTTAGCCAGAGCCCTACTGAGGCTAGTATCTCTAATGATTCTAAGCCCAAGTGAATGCTGATTAAGGTTCCAGGTAGTGGAGATAAGGAAGAACAAAGGAACACCACTGAATCAGGTTCACTATTTGGAAGATTCAATTGTTTGAGACACATCCATACACAATGAAAGATGGGAAAAAAAGGAGCTCTCCGGTAAACTATAAAGAAACCCTAATAGTTGCAGAAGCAAGAAGAGACTCTGAACTTTGAAAAGTACCAAGTGGTGAACAAGTCGGCTTAGGGGGAGAAAGCCATTTGGTTAAGATCTGCTAGAGAATTTCCAGGACTAGATTTCTACTGATTTATCCTTTCATGCTGACTAGCTATCATCTTGGAAAGGATGTGTGTATTGGAAGGGGATACAACCATTGTGGTGGTAAAACACAACTTAACTGGTCTCTTGCCGAGGGACTTGCTCTGGATTTTAATTTGGCACTCTCTCCTCAAAAGTTCCCGTATATTACAGAACATCTGTCATTGCTCCATATATGAATGAGGTAATATGATCCTATAGCATTTCTAACCCTCTTTTTGGTAACCTCTGCCTTAAGAGCACACTAATCACCACATGAGCTCCTCTCCCCAAGAGATCAGTCTCCAGTGAAACTCTGACTGAGGGAGTGTCTAACTAGAGATTTTTCAGGAAGTACTGGTCATGCAGACAACCTCCTAGGTTGGAAACCTGTAGTTATCCAGAACATGAATGCGTAAACATTCCTGGTCTTCAACTGAGCTTTTATAATCATACCATAGTAGAGAACACTTAAGAAGGAATGCACCTGATGATCCTGAGGGAAAGACTCTAAAATTATACATAGGTACTACAGCACTGTGAAGCCATCTACCTAACACAGGTATTCAGGAATACCGGGGCTGCTTAAAAGTGAATATGGTAGAAAAACTACTATTTACATGTGTATTTTTACACTGCTTTGAGCCTAAGGACATTCAGATCTAAGATGGACCTGTGGGATGCCCAGCCACAAGTAAAGCCAAAATTCCTTGCCTCCACTAATTGAACTAAGTCAGTGAGCCAGCAATCCAGCACGAAGAGCAAGGAGTGAATGCAACTGCCCACAATGAAGAAGGTTTCAGGAGCAGGGGAAACAGGCAATCCACTGTGTAGTAAAGAAGAAAGTAACAATGCCACTGATTGGAAAAGCACCTGAATAGTAGCCAAACACTGATGGTTGTCTGGGATTAATCAGGGTTGGTAAATGGGAAACTTTCTGTGCTAAAGGTATCTGCCCCATATACTGTCCCCTCTACATCAAATGCAAAACTCCTGTAAAAAATTAAGGAAAAAGCCCTTCCCAAGGGAAAAAAAAAACTTTGCAAATGGCTCTTAGGAAAGCCAAATAGGAAGCCATTTTCTCTGTGTAGACATAAAATAGGGAGGAGATGGTCAGCTCAAATATGCCAGCAAGAGAAAGTTCTATTTGAAATAAAAACTTTTCTTCCACCAATTGATGGTGTAGAAATACCCATGGAGCTATAGCTTCCGTACATAGCAGCACAGAAGATGGGCCAGATAGTCTACAACAGACACTATGTTATCACTTCTGCTATGTCCAGAGATGGAAACTTAAATTTTCCACTTGGGCATCTCATTTCTTAACCGGATAGAACATTAAAGTTACAAAAATTACTGAGGCTGCCAATATATTAATCAATTTTTTCAGGTTACATTTAATTCAAACACACCTGCAAGTTTTGTGGTCAAAATTTCTTCATACTCTTCACGGATTTTCTCTTCACGTTCTTTCAGCAAACGTTCACAGATCATTCCAACTTGTCTGAGAGTAAACAGGGGCTGTTCTTTTTTCAATGGTGATGATGCTGCAGATGAAGTACCTATGATTAAATATTTACACATAAGTAACTCAAAGTCAACATTCAACATCTTCCAGCTTTCTACATCATCTCTATTACATTAAATGTGTTCTCCAAACGAAACATTTGGCAAAATCTTGCTTTAATTTTTGGATACTTCCAAATTTTATTGATACTGGAAATATTTTATACCATCACTTAAAGGAAGTAATCTAAAATTATGCTCTCAGTTCAGCATGCTGTAAGGATAACAAAAGCCTCAAAAAATGTTAAATAGTGTTTACTACATGCAAAAATGTCTATTATAGAAAAGAAAAGACATGTCATACAGAAACATGTCCTCATTAAGGATCCTAAGCATTCATTGTGAGTAAAGTTACATCCGTTTTTAAAGTATCAGCTGATCTTTCTGTAAAGACATCTGCTGCTCAATGGTTTACAAAAAGTTTGTTTGCAGAATGATTTACTGGGAATGAGCTAACAAAACCTTCAAGGGGTTATCTATTTTAATTCTTTTAATCAAAGCTGGAATTTGCCACGACATTAATGCTTGCAATGAATGTAACTCCACCAACAGTAAGGATATGGCTCGAGCAAGAGTCGGTTCACAGGGAATGTGAGAACTTGAGGAAAGTTATCTACGCACATGGAGTCATGAGGTGTGTATATATAGCAAAGTTATACAGAGTTGTGGCTAGATACCTGGCAAAGCTGGTCCAGTAAGGAGAAATGCATGTGGCTGTGCATCAGTAGAACAACAAGGATCTGTCTGCTGGAAGCTATTTTCTAAATGTCTCCTCTTCTGCATGCGTTTGTACTCCTGTTTTATGTTGTACAGAATTTGTTCTAAAACAAAAGTTAAAACAAAAGTTAACTTAGTAATGACTACTTTACAGTATCCCTCAACTTTATTTCCATTTCAGATATCAAGCATCCGGGATAATTAACTGACACCAATAACAGTTCCTAAAGTGATGTGTAAGTCTGCAAGCCATTAAAGGGGCCATTTTATCAATTATATTCATGTGTAAAATGCAACTATAAATAAAGAATCTGACATTTAAAGAAGTCCACTCCATAATATTCATGATAAAAAACTGAAGATACAAGTGACAAGTTACACTGATCTGAGGTACAAGACCAACCTCAAAAGCCCTCTGAGGGTGAATAATTAGTGACAGTTTTACGGTCACGAACTATCATGGTTAGAAGTAAATGACAGACACCTTTGGAAACCTGGGAGTTTCAACCTTCCAGTTCTAATAGCACTATCCACCTTCTGTTGACCTATTTGATTTTAATGCAGTTCCTTCTGATTACTATCTTGCTTCCCTTTGACCCCACCCTTATATCTCATCTTAATTAAGGGCTGATATCTACACACCTCCATAATTAGAAACCAATCATTTAAAAGCAGATACTCCAAGCTTCCAGATAGTGTGAAATATTGATTTTTAATTTTTTTCCAGAGTTGCTGATAACATGTTGCAACTTAAGGGGAAGAAAACGAGAATAATCAGAATAATAGGATTGTATAGAGGGACTATTATTTTGACATCTGCCAGGACTACAATCGATTAGGCAAATCAGTACAAAAACTTTCAGGATCAGCAGCTTTCTAAACCATGGGCCAGACAAGTAATGTTTCATGGATCAATTTTTGCTCTCTTTTGAAGAACACAACAATATGGAGTTCAAAATTTGTATAATTTGGTAATATTTAAGTAACTTGAATAATCTAATCTCAATAATTTAAAATATAGCATCTAAATGATCATCATTCCAGGTGTTGTTAACCACTGGTATATATGCTCTTCTAAACTTAAGAAATGAATATGCAAATGAGATACATATTGAAATGTCACAATTATACCCAATGAATTTTTAAGTGGCTATGTATAAAACCTCCCCACAATTTAAAGTAATATTAATTGTTAATTCCCATTACCTCCAAGGTACTGCTATACAATAAGAAAATAGAAATTCTTACATGTTTTACACAAGTTTTATTTCAAAATCTGGCATCTAATAATTTCTAGAAACATGTTCAAAGTGTAACCTAAACATCCCTTCCCTTACCCCCGTCCCCCCAAGTCATTCCTATGTTGCCTTCTCTACAACAGTTACCTCTAGCAACTTTCATAGCTTTTGCTCACATAAGCATCAGCACATGAATTACACAACATAATACAAAGAACTACATACATTGGCCCCCCATCCCCAGTTTCACAAAACACATCAAAAAAAACTTCAAAGGCAATTAGAAGAAAAAAATCAACAGGCTTTCTGCTCTTTAAAGAAGGCCTCCAGATGCTTACAGACACCCCTCTCCCACTGAAGGCATTTTTCAGATTTCTGCAGGTCAAACCACGGCTTGGAAAAACCTACTGCTCGCAGCAAAAACAACACTTCCCAGGATGATCATTAGCTTCTGAAGACTCTAGACTTTCATTTTACAAAATTAAGTTTCTAGTCCTTAGGGCAAAGATAACTTTCCAAATGTCAGCTAAACAGAAAGTAATGGCACGCTGCCTCCCTGAATCCACAGACAACTTTAGTCAGTACATTCCTGCTGCTCCTTTGTTTTTTGCTAAACTGCAACATGGTTCTGCTATACAGAATCCTGTAGGCAACACTGTGTCTAAGCATCTCATAATGGATTAATTTAACACTACTGTCAAATAGGTAAACTGAGGTATAGAGGCTTAAGTGACTTGCCCAAAATCAGATAAGTCTGTGGCAGAGCCAGTAGTAGGAAACAGATCTTCTGATTCCTGGCCCAGAGGTTTAACCACAGAACTATCCTTCCTCTCGTATTTCTCTCTCTGCCTTTCAGCAGTCAGAGGAGTTTGGAGGCTTCAAATATCAGATACCTCCTAGCAACAGGTTACAAAAAACAGATCACTTGGGCAGGGGCAGTGTCAGACCCCTCCTAGGTATCCTTGCACCTTCAGCAAGCGGGCTTCTCGTTTGCGATGATAGACCATGGTGTATAATCCATAGAATATTAAAAAACTGTAGTGAAGCCAGAAAGGAAGGCAGTATAATGAAAGCAAGGGACATAGTAAGTTAGGCTTTCTAATCCATTTGTAAAAGCATACATATGCACAACGCGTTACAATGAAATACAGCAGAGGCTCTCAAATTGTGGTCCAGGAAGCACTTGCTGGCCACCATGGTGCTGAGGCCACATTTCCAGCTGCTAAGTTACATTTAGAGTTAACTACTTTCCTCAATATTATTTTTCTATACAACCAAGTGCTGCCGTAGCTACAGAGATGTTATGCGATTGTGAAATGGAGGACAACCGGTTCTGTGTTAAAGTGTGTTCCACACTATGAAAAATATGTATTGTAGTAGTTCTCAACTGTCTTAGGGCTTGTCTACATGAACAGACTGTGACAAGCTGGGGTGTGAATCTAGCCTGCCGCAGTCTTACTATCCATGTGCACCCATTTCAAAGACTAGATCAAAGCACATTAACTATTAATATGCATCCACAAAGTCCATGTGCACAGTTAGACTGAGCAGGCTAGTGGAGGGTAGATTCCCTCCCCAGCTTACCACAGTCCAGGGGTTCATGTAGACAAGCCCCGACAGCTTACATTTCAAGCGTGTGGCACCACCGCATCTATGTTGCACTCTGGCTAGTCCGGGTCAAGTAAATTTTTTAAGATCTGGGTTCACCTACTCTACAGACATCAATTAAACTTCAAACATGACAAAACCACAACAGAAGCCTTTTTCTGCAGTTCTGCAAAGAATACTAGATGTACACAAACTCTCAACTGCAACTGAGAGTATAAGGGGAATTCCCCTGGCTTAATTAAAAAAAAAAACGAACGATTTCTGAAGCCATCTCAACCAAAACAGTTTAACTTCTTCCTGTCTACCACTAGAGTACCAAACAAAAAACCCACAAGCTTTTATCAATAACCCCTGCAAAGGAATAGAACAAAAAAATCCCACTGAGACTCAAGGCACCGGACAAAAACCTTAAAAGCAGAAATACAATAATTGGGATAAAAAAAGCTAAACTACTCCAAGTCCCTAAACCATTACATAGCAAAACATACAATAAGCATGTATGGAGTGAACAATCAAAACCAACACATTTTCTCCTTTACTGTCCAGGATACAAGGAACTCAAGGAAGATACTTTCTTACTCTTATCAGAAATGATAGTATTTCAATTACTTTTTGTCATGGAATGGTTATGTGAACTCTAGGAAGACTGAGGGCAGATAGCAGGTTGGACCGATTTTAATCAAAGCAATTTAAATCACTGATTTTAATCATAATTTAAATCAGCAAGCAGGAAACGCGGATTTAAATCACGGGTCTGAGTCTTGTTTTACAACACTGCTTTTTATTTTCCTAAAGAAAGGTCGATTCTCATGGGTTGGTAACTATTAAAATATGTTGATTTACAACTAAATACAGCCTTTGCACTAAATTTTGTGCTTTGTTGCTAACCAAGCAGATATACTGTATCTATAGATACTTAAACAATTATATAGCTTAACTCACATTTTATTCACATTCTGAATTTTTACATTTTTATGTTAGAAAATGGGGAATGTTCCATTTCATTTATTAGATTAATTTTTACTTATGATTTTATGAAGCCCTATTTAGATGGAAATTTAAATTCAATTAAAAATACACATAAACAGCAATTTAAAATTGTTTTTATTAGCTCAATAAAACTACCTTCCATGTGCTAGAAAGGAAAAAACTAATAATTTAGTTCGAAGTTAACTAAACTTGGAACTAACCTAATTATTAAACAAAAGAAATATCTAATTAGGGAACTGAACTTACTATTTTGGTCACCACATCCTTCAAGCTTTTACTACCAGTAGATTTCATTCTCTCATATCTAGTTTTTATTCACAGACTGGAACAATAAACTAGCTTTTCTGCTTTTTCAACTCAGTTTCTCCATTTTTAATAAACTAAACTAGTTGAATAAACTGAAAATACTCTTCGCACCTGCAGAAGAGGCTATTTTTGTTAAAAACTGGTTTAGCTGCACCACAACCATCTCTTGTTCCAGATGCTTAGTTGAGCTAGAGAGAAAAAATGACTATATAACCTGGTGATTAGGCAATTCACGCAGGAAGGGGGAACCTGAACCCTGGTCTCCCAAAGCCCCATGGGTAGAGCACTCCCCTGGGATTCAGAATATAAAGGGGCACCACTGCTTCCTCCTCCATTAGTTTCATAGTTCCTTTGCTTTAGATGAAAAAACACTTTAAAATGCCCCAAAGCAAAAGAAAGTATTTCATTCAAAACTTTTGTCAGGATTTTTTGTTTTGGTAAGAAAACAGAAAAAATTCTTGTGTATATCCTAAAAGGATTTTTTAAAAAAAGGTTTTGGTTCAACCAGCAAACTATAAAATTGATTATTTGCACAGCTCTAAGTGTAGGTGCTGAAGTTTAAGCCACAACTCAAATGGTATCTTATTTTATTTGTACTAAAACTGCTATAGGCCAAAAACAAAATACTGAAAATGAAAGCCCATATCCCATAAACACGTAAACAGATTCATAACATGAACAGTCCCACTGACTTCAAATCATGTGAATCATGGGCCTTGTGCTTATAATTTAGCATGTGTTTGCAGCATTAAGGACTAGCTAAAATAGTTTTTAATTAAAAACTTCTTGACTGCACAAAATCTGTCACTTCAAACCAAAACCGCTTTGGTGTTAACAGTGAAAAGTTATTTAAACTTCCAATACGTCAAAGTCAGTGACCTCTTTATACCTAGGCCAAAAATTTCAAAAACAGTAGCCTAAAGTCAGCTCCTAAACACAGTTATCTAACTGCACTCCCGGAT